TGTGGGTGGTCCACACAATTTGATCGCCGCCATGGCTGCGCTTCCCAAGAGAATCATCAAAGAGACCGAGCGGCTAGTGAGCGATCCGGTGCCGGGCATCGTTGCCACGCCCAAGGAGGACAACTTGCGCCACTTCGACGTCGTCATCGACGGCCCCGACCAGTCGCCGTACGCCGGTGGCAAGTTCGAGCTCGAGCTCTTTTTGCCCGACGACTACCCGATGTGTGCCCCGAAAGTCCGCTTTTTAACCAAGATCTACCACCCTAACATCGATAAGTTGGGGCGGATTTGCTTAGATGTGCTCAAGGACAACTGGTCGCCGGCGCTCCAGATCCGCACCATCTTGTTGCTGATCCAGGCGCTTTTGGGCCAGCCGAACCCCGACGACCCCTTGGCCAACGACGTCGCCGACCACTGGAAGGAGAACTTGGCCGACGCCCAGAAGGTGGCGCGGGAGTGGACGGCGAAGTACGCCGTGCCCAAGGAATGAGAATAGCTAATAGACACCCTTGGCAAACCCTAAGTTATAGAGATACTAGAAGATTTTGCAGTAATCAAATGTTGTTGTTATGAATTTAGCCTCAGTGCTGAGACTTCATGTAGTGATACCTTCAATAGTTCTAATTAAACTGAACACATCGTGAAATTCGACAGCAGACAACTGTGGCTCAAAGTCATGACTCTGGCGTTAAACCAAACGATACCATTACTAAAACGTGTTTGGTCTCTGGCAATTTTGGGGACACATTCTCCCATAACCACAGAGCCGCCTTTGGTTCAACGACAATGGATCACGTAATCTACCATACTCCCATTATCACTTAATTGTCAATGACTTTGTGTGCTGACAAAAAACAAAACCCCAAAAATGCCCTCCACCATAGCAGCATCGACGACCCCGACCGTTTCTACCACCACCACGTCACCCACCCCCACAACGTGCCGAACAAGACGATCAACCTGTATCGCTTCCCTTTGACTTAGAGTATTATTAGCGCCAGTAATTTATCGAGCCTGTTTGCCTAATGAGGAAGCACCTACTCGTTTAGGCTTACCCTGCCTCATCGGGCACCTCCTTCCCGTTTAGTAATGGGGCGTCCGGGTAATCGCATCCGCTCTAGGCCAGACGACGCCTGACTCTAGCCAGTGGCCACTCATCATCGACTATCGCCAGATGGACGATGTCGAGGCGACATACCGCCAGCACTAGTTCCACCTTGCCACGATGCTATAATGGTACCGCCTTGATGGAACATCTAAGGCGGTTTCGTAAGAGCTGGCAGCATACTGCCCGAAGGTGCCGAACAGGGGGAATGCCTCATCCCTGCCGCTGCACTCTATGGTTTCATCCCTGCTTCCCAGCAGTGAACTGCGGGCACCACACCTCGTCTCAAGCGACAATGGGCCTGCCCCCTCCTGTTGGTGAGCTGCGAGGCGTTACCGGCGCTAAACCTTGTCAGTTACCCCTCCCTCCTAGGTGCGGCCCGTATCCCCGGATGGTGCAGCAGGCCATTTTCCTCATTAGGCAACGCCTGCCCAATTAAGGTAGCAAGAGGCTGCAGTGCGGTAAGGAACTCGGGATGTGGCCTCGCTGCACCTCGAGGCCCGGCGGGCTATTGTGTAAACGACGATTGCGGGGTATTCTTTTCACCAGTAGCACAAAACGCACCTTTAGCCGACGCTAGTAAGTTGCGTCGCCGCCTTGCAGAGGGACACTGCTACCCCACGCTTCGTCCTGTTCGGTGGTCACGAGATATGAGGCAGAGCCAACGGTAGGTGTGCGGCTTCGCCAGTGCGAAATTTCATTGCCACCATCTCCTCCTACCTTAATTTGAGGGTTTGAGTAAATGGTTCTGTTTCGTAAGCCTCATTAATCCAATGTTCTTTGCGAAAAATGACACCAGATAAAGTCTCTTTTTCTTGCTTTTGAAAATATTTCCGAAGAGTTTTCTCGTTGGCGCCGGTGGTTAGCGGAGATCTATTTTCTGGAAGCAAGCGTCGGGCAGTGAAGCAAGCAATGGGCACAACCTTCTTTTTCTCGGCTTACGTACGCCGCCCGTGGGGTGGCCCGTGGGGTACACCTGTGGGGCAAGCGGCCACAGAAGGCGCCTCCTAATTAGTGTTTTGCGAGCCGGCCTCAAGCAGCAACTGCAGTCGCTTTGGGAAAGGGTGTCCGAATCAGGCACCGCCGGCTACAGCCACTGAATACCGCCTGACTATCCATAAAACTGAGGCGGCGATGACCCTGGGGTTCCGCAATCGCAAAGGCGATGAAGCAAGTGGCCGCCAGTGGTTCCCGTGGGTGCCGGCGACGCCGTTTCCGAGCTTGCCTTCAACCATGGTGTGAGGGGGTTGGGCACATACCCATGTCCTACAAACCATCCCCCTGCCTCGGGGTTAACCTTTCACAAAACCTAAGGACCTAGACTAGCAACCACAGCTCCATACGGGGTGCGGTTGCCCTATCCCGTCCTTTAAGCCTTAGTGCGGACAGAAAATTTCGTCAGGGGCACGACCCCTTCCCCTTTGTTCTCGAAGCCGAAGGGTGAGGGTGACATGCTGTGGGGCTCGTTGCGTACTGAAACTGGTCCAGCCGAAGCCCCCGAAAGAAACAATACGCGAGGCGTCCGATGGTTAACGGTGGGTTGTAAGGACTACCTCTCGGTGGTATATTCTAGCCGGCGGGTAAACCTGCGCCATTACGCAATTCTCGACCCGCCAGTAAATAGAGACTTTTCCAGAGAGTAGGGGTACGGAAACCTGGTGTCTGCTTCTTTGGTGCCAAGAGAAATCATCCATTGTGTCGTTGGCGTTCCCGTGGTGTCTGCGTCGTTTGTTGGCGACAGTTACTTTTCAGACAAACTCTGAGTGACGTGAGGTCATGGTGCATATGTCACCAAGCAGTAAGAAAAAACCTGTGACCACTAATTCGATGGAATTTGTCGAGTGGAACAGCCGACCCTCGCTCCAATGAGACAGCAGAAAATGTCTCAACCTATCTTGAGATCTCATAGAGCCATGAGGGTGTGATGGTCGTAGGGTAGAGCTTAGCCCCCCCTGGGTGGATAATGGAACAAAGAGAATCACAGAGGTTTATCACAATGAGGGGTAATACAACGAGCCAGAGACAAAGAAACTAACAAGGTCTAGAGGGGCTTTGAAACTGGAGTTCACAGCTTTGAGAGTATCCAGCTTACTCTCATTTTTTTTGGTGGAAATGAAGCTGGTGGAGGCTGAGGTAAGATAGTGGGTGGACGGCTCTCCACTGATGCCAGGTCCCAATGCGGCCACAAAGATTGCGCCGAATCAACGGTGGCAGAAGTTGTCGGCCGGCACGCCGGCGCGGAATACTTAGTAAGAGCCGACCTTAGGTAAGCCGCACCAGCCAGCGCTACCATCATCTCACTTTTTTTTTTTTTCGAGGAGAACAAAGTGAGACAATAGGCGCTAAACCCGTATCGCTTAGCCTCGTATTTTCGGAGCACACCCGTCCACAGTCACGAGGTCACACTCTCCGATGAGATAACATTAGTAAAACGCAGGCTTCGCCGGCGTCCACCGAAGTTTCGAGAAAAGATGAAACGGTGATGACTTTCGGGCTTTTCATTGCGATGAGCGGTGCGGCCCGTTTGCCACCGCTTGTCACTACGAGCCGGTAGCCGATATTTCTCGCACGGGGGTAATACGGTTTTAGTAAGCAGAGCCCGCGCTCACGTAAGCACCACACCCCGTAAACCCTTTGCAAACCCTAAAATCAACCTCTTAACTCTGACCAGGTCCCTGTACCTTAACTGCTTGATCTCCGGCTGATTTGTGCTGCTGGATGCCAAGCCCGTGTCTCCACCACATCTGTACGCTCGGGGCCGAGGTGGCCGGATGCCTACCTCATCGGTTAACGAAACCAGCCAACACCCACGGCAATAGAAAGGGAAAAAATAAAAATAAAAAACAGGGTTCAAATGTAGGTTCTTTGTGGATAAAAAAACAGGAGACACTTAAGAAGAAGTAATAGTGCGGGTGTGGTGGTCTTATAAGTTACCTAGTGTTTCATCTAGGGTTTCAGAGTCGGTGTAACTTTGGTCGGGGGGAGCCCTACACTGAGAAGGGCTTGTCCACGGAGACGCGTGGCGCGCAGAGCCGAATCAAGACGATTCCCGAGACCAGGGCCGCGTAACCGGTAGCCAGCAGCGCAAATGTAACCCGTTACCAATGGTGGCTGACGCTACCAGAGGGGCGCCGCCGGCGCTGGTTAGCACCGAAAACGCCGTTTGCCCACCCCCTGGCTAAACTTCGAACAAACTCTAGCCAAACCACTTAATACCCACGCCAATAGCTACCCCTAACTACCCGCAAATACCGCCGCGTTGTTGTCGTCCGCGTGCTCCGTGTCCTATCCCTCCCCCCCCCAAGCGCCCCATTCTTTACCCCTAGCGCGGTCCCCTCCTTCGCACTGGTCCTGCCTACTAAATACCTCACCCCGGAGAAAAAATCACTTCCGAACCGCTTAGATCTCTTTCCTTTAGGTGGCACCATCGCAGCCCCCGTTTCTTCGCCTGTTGTGTTTTGCTAAACTGCTAAACGGCGATGAAGAGTCCGTTTGACGACTCGTTCGAGTTCTCCCGCCGCACCCCGCGGGCGCCGGTGGAGCTGTACACGGCGCTGGAGGCGCTGGACCTCGACTCGGTCCCGCCAACGCCACGCATCGGCCTGGGGCACAACCGGAACCTGGAGTTCTCCTTCC